ATTATATATAGGTGTAGTAGTACCTCTTCGGGCTCTTGGATACCTTTTTCTTGCTACGTGTGCGTGTTCTTTAGATCCTCAGATGGCTCTAGCACTTTCGTGACCACGGGCTGAGAGTCTTTGCTAGATTTTGGCATTTAGCAACTGGCATACGGTTTAATGTGAAGTCAACAACAACAACAACAACAATGGTGCGGAAGTTGTTGCACAACGCTGATCCTGGGGGATGTTGCACACGTCCACAAGAGATGTGCTACAAGTGTCTGTTCTGGGTGTAAGTCTGCCTGATGCTATGGCCGTGCAGGACTACAGCAATGTAGCAGCAGCAACGTAGGACAGACGACGTCGAAACCCGGCAACCTACAGCAGTTGCAAGGTGCGTTTGTTTTTCGTAGAACGAGATGTTTCCCCGCTTGTTTCTCTACCAGTCCTCGAGTTTGGCTCTACAGCAGCAGCAGCAGCAGCAGTGGTACAGCAGTAGTCCTACGCCACATACCGTGCATGGCTTAGAGTGGTTGCGCACCAACTCGTAAGTGATGAACAAAAAGTAAACATACGTAAGCTACAGCAAGTAGTAGTACATCTCTTGTACCCTCCACAAAAAAAAATGTCGCAACAATAATTGGTCGACAGCAGTAGTCAGTCTACAGCTACTGTAGCTGGTGGAAGTGGAGGATAGGGGCCAGAGGGGCAGAACGACAGAATCCAATGATGGGAGGGAAAGAAAAAAAAAAAGTCCTGCGGGATAGTTGTCAACGATATAGAGTTTGGGATGAAATGAGGCCTCCGGCTACGAAAAGCCCGGATACTCCACCCAGGGTTGGTTACTGTCGTCAACGCGGCAGTCGCTCAGAATACTAACCCCAGTCAAATCCAACACCTAGCATAGTTGGGTGAGCGGGGACGGCTGTTCTTCCTACCGTACCCTCCCTCCGTTAGGGTTGGGAAGGCTGGTCACGAGTGGGTGCTCGGTCCAAGTCCTCTGTTGAGTAGCTTTGTGCATCGGTGCCTTGGCGCGCGGGGTCCCTTGGAAAGAGCCAGCGGCGCGGTAGCCGCCAACGATACCGTGTAGGAACTATGATGGGCGTGACAGCCTTCTACTTTTTTGGGATGGAGAGCGTGATAGCTCGGGTATGGTATCTCTGGATGTGGCGTGGAAGCCTGGTGACGTGATAGTCGTGGTGTATATGTATAAGTAAGGACGTGGATGTCCGGAAGGCGCGATAGCCGGGTGGCGTGATAGCCGGGATTGGCGTGGAAGTCGTGGCGTGATAGCCGGGGAAAAAGGACTTGATTGCACAGAGGAAGGAGGAAACAGAGGAAACACAAACAGGTGAGAAACCACATCGCACAATCACCATATCCGTTGTAGAAACACACATACCCCCACCCTCAATCCTGTAATATACGGCAAAGTGGGTACCATCAAATCGAACCCAAAGCAACTGCTGAACCCCCAAACTCCCCGCTCCATCTGCTCGGAAATTTCTTGCTTGGAAGAACCTGTCGATTGTCGATGCTGTGAGTACGTCCAACATCTTCTCTGCAGGCAATCTGTTCTCATCTGCAGAACCCCTTCGCGGTTCCATGATTTCGACATTATTTCACTGCGGGATAGTCAACGATATAGTTTGGGATGAAATGAGGCCTCCGGCTACGGCACGGGATCCACCCATACTTCACTTTTCGGCTATTCAACGCACAATCACCATATATCCGTTGTAGACACACACATACCCCCACCCTACATCCTGTAATATACGGCAAAGTTGGTACCATCAAATCGAACCCATAGCAACTGCTGAACCCCCAAACTCCCCGCTCCATCCATCTGCTCGGAAATTTCTTGCTCGCAATAATCTGTCGATGCTGTGAGTACGTCTAAAGCCAATTGTTATGGAAGAATTCCAAATTTGGAATCCTCCGCCCTGGGAAAACAAATTCCAACGCCGAAATTCCAATTTGGTATTCTGGTGCCGACCAAGTTATAGGGAAATAGGAATCCGGAGCGTTGGGGGGGTAGATTACGATGCACGGAGCGGAGAATTCAGAAATGGGCGCGATTCTATGTACCGCACTCACTCCCAGCAGACCATCCTTTCCCTGCGGGCGGGCGTGCTTGCGTACCATCCGCAACAAAACACCGCGAGCATGGCCAACTTGCCCCCTGTTCTGAGCGAGTGCGAGCCAATTGAGTCATAGGGGACCGATCAGCCACGACAGGAGATAGTTTGGTCGTGGAATTGATTCGTTGCCATGGCACCGAGAGGCGGGACCTGGACGCATCAGCAACGCCGCCTGCTGCAAAACCCGGCTGCGTACTACGCCAACCAATCTGTGAGGGACAAGGATGACATGCAGGCGCCTGACATGCATGCGCATGCTGCAAACTGCATGAGGACGTTCGCGGCTCCTGGGATT